GTTAGTTGCAGTTCCATATTTCGCCGTTAGGCGCTAAAGCTTCCACTGGCTTGTCGTTGTCGTTGTTCCACTGGCCAAACCTATATTTACCGTTCCTAAAGCGTAGCACACCGCTGCACGCTGGTGGTTGGATTCTTTTAAAACCGCTGCCGAACGGATACACGGAAAGAAGAATGGAAACGCCCTCAGTAGTGATTTCAACATCTTCTCAAACGGATAAGTGATCGTAGTAACAACACTGAATCAAGAACGCAATCAATGAAAATCCTAAAAATGAGGTTCGCTATTATTTAGTGATGGCTGAACCTGTGAAAAGAACATGGCACAGTAACTATCGCGAGTTTAATAATGAGCAAAACGTTTCACGTATGACTGTGAATCGACGGAGATTGGTAAACTGAAATACTGGGCATCGCAATAGGAAAGTTTCGAGAATAGGCTAGAACTACAAGTTTATATCTCTTTCACATTCGCCAGTCAATGCTGCCAGACATTTTCTCATCCATGAAGCATTTTTAAAATGCAAGTGAAAATTGTCTGACTGACCAACTGCTCATAGCCGGCTCCGATTAAGGCCAATGAAGGAGAAATAAAGAACAGGCCAAAGAATAGTGCAGCAACAAGGCGCATGACCTTCGAAGCTGTCCGCACACAAACGCCACTTTGAGCACAGCTGCAAATATTTGCGAACTATGCTCATTCTCGCATGAGCTGGAAGCAGCAACAATCAAACAATGACAGAGTACTTTATTTTGCGATATAAACGAGCTCTTTTAGTAATGAGGTGACTTGGCTGACATGCTTCGGAAAGGCTGTGGAGGAAGTCAGACACAGGCAGGTTGAATAGGGTTGCGTTTTATTATACCTCACATGTGAAACGACCTCATATAGCGCGGCACTACATGAATCGGAAAGGTTCCTGAATAAATGAACACCTAATACTATCTTATTTTATAATGACGGTCTATGAATTAGCCATCAGAATTATGTAATAATAATAATGACAATAATAGTGATAATAACAATAACAACAATAATATAATAAAAATATAATAATAACAATAATATAATAGTAGTGATAATAATAATAGTAATAATAGTAATAGAATAATAGACAACCGATGGACAAGAGCCGTTAGTGACTGGCTTCCTCGGGATTGTTAAACGCACTGTAAGAAGACCGCGGAACCGATGGTAAGAGTTCTTCACGAAGAGCCTGGAAGAAAGATGTGATGCTCGACGAATCCCTAGGACGAGCAGAACCCACTGGGCTACTCTTGCATGCGAAAGGGAAAAATGGGAGATTTTCAGGCGCCCGCTCGAGTCACTCGACGATCAACGGGACCACAGGTGACACAGGTGATACATGATAGGACATAATTTTTAGAACCGACTTTCGCTGAGCTGGTTCTAAACTTACCATAAGAAAATCTCAAGTGAACCACTGAAAATGTCAATGACGGAAATCTGATAAATTTGGGAAATAAAGGCTTATACGTCCAATCGCAGAGTATACGAATCAATGCAAAAGAAGGCATTTACGAAGGAATATTTAGGCAGAATATTATTCCGCTTTTTTGTGAAAAATAATGATAATAAACTATGTATTTCTTCATTGGTACGCTAACACGAGGCTGATGAAAACTTTACTCGCTGCCATTCCTTTTTCAGAGCAGCTACGGCTCAAGTGGATTGTCCATAATCGTTCATTCTTCCTATATGCTTATCGTAGACCCATCAAATTGAATCCGGTAGAATGGAGCACTGAACGCGGGAGCTTCGAGTGCGGTTGCATTGCTCGAGCGTTTCTCCATTCTAGAAGATTGGACTCGATGCAATTAGGAATGCCTACATAACAAGAATGAGCGGTTGTCGATAATCGTCCTGAAACCTTATGGCAGGATGAGGATACGGGGTTTCAAGCGATTTTGATTAAGCATGCAATAGTTTGACCAGAGTTAATAAGTCAGTTGTTGCATTGGAAGGAAAATCTCTGTACGACATTTTAGAACACTAATTAAAACGCAGTGGAGAAATGAGCCCAGCGAACATGCCAAATTTGATCGCCTAGAGAGATCATACCTTTCAAAACTTGATTATTAGGTAACACTCGTACTCGTTCTTTCACAAGCGGTCCCCACTTGTCCCTATGCTGGCCCGGAGTTGTCAAGAAGATTGTGCTCTTTGAAATACACGAAATGCATCATGTTCTTCTTCCACGGACATCATGAAGAAACCCAACAGTATAGACGGTTCGTTCCAACTGCACTCTTCGGAAGAACGTTGTCACTGAAAGCTCTACCCATCTGCTACCGTTATATATATATATATATATTATATATATATATATATATTATATATATATATATATAT